GTCCCGCCATTAATGCGAGGCCGGACAACGAACCACCCTGGTCAGCAAGCGGGCGTTTGAAGGCAGGGCGGCAGCTTGCTTCGCCAGGTCATCCGCGCTCTCATTCCCCTCAATACCGCAGTGGGCAAGAACCCGCTGCTGACTGCAGAGGGGTGTTCACAAGCACCGCAAACTGCTGAGTGCAGTGTGTACGGTGTGGGCAGCAGCCGTGGGGGTAGGAGATGGGTAGGCAGTTCTGATGTCATGGCTGCGTGAGGTGGACGGTCCAGTCTCAACCGGTTCCGACCGACCACAGCAGTCACTGCGTGCGGTGATGGAAGGATGAGGTAGGCACAAAGTGGGCAGAGCTTACAGCTGTGTATGGTCCGACCTCACACAGGGCCCGTGAACAGCCCTCAGGATTACTTAATGATGCTTGGCGATGTTCAACAAGGTCTTCCATACCTATCTCCTGAGAGGGTTAAGGCCTCACCTGGGCTGCCGCTCCTCCGCTTGGTAGAATCAGGGCGGCTCGGCTCGCCAATTCGAGCACATGATGACCAGGACATAATGTCTCATCCTGAGACCTTTCCAGAGCCGCCCGCAGGGCAAATCTGCTGCTAAATTGACCAGCGTGTCAACTAAATTCAGTGACTGTCTTTGTCAAAAAAAGTATGTGTCCGCCCTGCCCAAAAAAATAAGCTGCCGCTATGCACTGAGTTTAGCCGCATGTTAAGTTACGCCACAAATGCGCCGAAATTTTCGGCGGATCCAGCCACTATGCCGAACATATTTGGCATGCTTTGTAGGTGTTTTTACAGTCTGGGCAGAGAGGAGGGATGAACCCAATGGCGGTGTAGTTGGTTTGACTGTGATAAATGCTGGGTTCATTGCCACAAGCTTCAGCATAAGTAACTTGAACTACTCTTTTAATTTCATTAGAGTAAACCATGATATGAAGAGTACAAACAATAAAATGAAAAGGCACTTACCCAGCTAAAAGTTGCAGACAATCCTATTTTCCATTTTGAAGATCAAATGAAAGAACAACCAACAGGTCGTCACAAAAAATGATATTCTGTGGTACTTTCTTGAAACACCAAAAATACGGACCACTCTCAACACAATAACACAGAAGAAAACACACACAAATTCACTTTGCGTCAAGGTTACGATTTTGGAAAACCCAAGGAAAACCATGAGAACTTCAAAGACGGCAGGAATCTCGAAAATGACGTCAAAATTATCGCTGTATATTGCATGTTGTAGGAATCTTATATTTGATAAGATTAATTTACATGACAAAAATATAGCAGTTATGATATGCACGACTGGCATGAGGGGCACGACCAAAGAAAAAAAAGCCAAAATTTTTATGTGAACGACGCTGTAGAAATGTCCCTCCATATCATTGGTAGAAATTAATGACGTAACAGGATCGATCTAGGCAAAAATAACGTGGTGGTACTAGAACACCCATGTTGTAAGCTTGAAAGTCTCCCATTCATTCAATATAGTCCAATTCGTCCAATTCAAATTGCAACCCACAACAAGCCAAGGCAACAACCCACAACAATCTGCTTGTGTGAAAGCCGGAATATTTCAATTTTCTGTCAGATTTTTCAAATATTGGGATTTAGGGTTTGTGGTAAAGGATAGTAAAATAGGTGCTGGCACTGTAAGGTGAAGGGAGGCTATTATTTGAGACAGCATGTCAATGTTAAAATCAATATAAAATGAAAACTATTTGATATTTTTTTGTCATTTTTACTCAGGTGATTAACCGCTCTATTACGCATCAACCCTAGCAAAAGTGACAAAAAATATTGAACTGTAATCATTTTAAAATGATTTTTAGATGTTCTTAAATAGCCCGACCTTGCAGTTTCGGTTTGATTGACCTAAGGTTCTGTGTTGCATTGAACATGGTTGTGATGAGATTACATAGGTACTATTGTCAGTGTATCATTTTGGTAATGAAAATTTGAATTTCTGAGGCCACATTGACATGGCCACCCATGTGGTCTACATTGAATTCATGTGGTCTGTTTGGTTGACCAATGAGAGGCCAAGAAATGTTAGCAATGATTTATTTGGGAAAACAGCAGCATGCTGATAAAAACATTGACTGAGCAATGTCCTGGTTAAGAGATGCAGCATCAATAACATCCTGTGGAAACTGGAAGACAGTTCCAGCTACAGCCAATGATAACTAGCTGGTGCACTTGACCACTGTCATTCTTCTCAGTTCAGCCTCAACTTAGTTGTGGATCTCAGGAGTATCAAATGCTGGTTCTTGGCTATAACAGTAACTGGAGGTGTTTACCAACACAGCTCTATGCAAAATCTGCATTTCAACTTGTGAATTGTGATCTGTGCCACACCACAAGAAATCTCCACTGATTGATGCCAGCACAGATTGATGTCTCAACTTGCCATGTTCTGCTGTCTGCAGCCTTGCTGCTGCCATGAGCACAGACATGATGAAACTTCAAGTTACAAATGAGCTGAGCCAGCAGTGTTTGATGTGGCTGAAATTCATATAACTCACTTATATGACTGCCTAGTACTCTGGTAAAAGCAAATTTTTATTTGACAAATCCTGCCTTTTGATTTAACACTTGCACTGGCAAAATGAGTCTTTGTAGCCACACTGCAGAAAGAAGGCAACATTTCTTAGCCCCAAGGAGGAAGCAGACTTCTCATCACATTTCACCTTGTCACACCCAAACAATATTGCCAATCCCCTGCTCAAGCATGATGTGAGCTTGCAGAACCTGATTGGTTTGTAGCCTTTGATTAATACAGATTTGCTGGTGTTGACCAAAGTGTGTTGCGATATACCGCTAACCGCACCACTGTAATTTATCCAATGTACTACGCCACCAGGAGATGCCCAACAGCAAGGTTTCGGCGGAGGAAGCACGGGAGAAGGTATCCAAGTACAAGGATGACATCAAGGTGGAGGGCGAGCGTGTCGTCAATGACGTGCTGCCGCAGCGGATCCTGGAGATGAACGAGCTGCTGGAGCAGGCGCCGTTCACCACCACCGACCTGCGCCAGTTCCACAGCGCTCTGCAGGTGGGCGTGCCGCCCCCGCTGCACGCCGATGGACAGCCGCCGCCCGGCAAACGGCGCAAACGCAGCGAGGACGTCGGCGACGGCGAGTCTCCCCCGGCCTCCTGCCTCCTCCCGCACGGCTCCGTGCCGTGCAACAAACCCATCACCGACATCATAGAGATACTCAAACCGGTGAGAGGAGACGACTATGATGGATTAATGGTAATGTCATTGCTGGTGGCTGAATTCGACTCGTTTTCATATTTTGTTACGCTTCTTCTTTTTTACCGGCTAACGATCCCTGCGGCCGTTGAAATATTTTCATTAATTTTTGTTGGTGTGTACAATTGGCTACGGAGAAAAACAGCCCAATGGCTTACCATGAGTAAATCCATGTACGACCGATAATTTCACACTTACCGTCTGCATGGACTGGCCATCCACATATGTAAGCGAATGGCACCGGCGCGTCTAACGATGAAAAGAATGAAAACATAACTAACTGGTCAGGCTGTAGATGGCGCTGGCAAATAAGGCATGCGCAGGTGGCGGTGCCTTTACGGATTTCTCTCACTTTGTCGACTGCTGACGTTTTCCCCTTATGTCGCAGATTATCCGGCGAATCATGGAGGAGACGAATCTGCTGAAGATGTGGGTGACCTACATGATTCCGAAGATCGAGGACGGCAACAACTTTGGCGTCTCGATCCAGGAGGACGCGCTCGGTGAGGTAGCTTCGGCTGAAACCGAGTCGGCCACTCACTTCTACGAAATCTCGCGCTACTTCAGCTTCCGAGCCAAGCTGGTCTCCAAGGTGGTCAAGTACCCGCACATAGACGACTACCGACGCGCCGTGGAGGAGCTCGACGAGAAGCAGTTTGTCTCGCTGCGGCTGACGCTGGTCGAAATCCGCAACCGGTACGCCACCCTGCACGACGTCATCAGCAAGAACCTGGTCAAGATCAAGAAGCCTCGGTCGGTGGACTCAGCCGAGTCGATGTACTGAGCGTTACCGTGCGCGTGCGCAGTGACGCGGAGACTCTGCCGGGCGGGCGCCCTCGGGTCGGCCCCGCCCACGTTCCAGTGCTGGGGCGGCTCGGGTCGCACAGCCAACAGTCATACTTTCATGGATCATAATCGTGCCTCACTAGAATAAATACACCTCGGAAGGTGCAAGGTGTGAGCTGTTCGCTCCGGTCATGGTGGGATGGAGAGTAGACTACTCTGGACGCGTGGTCGATGTTGTGGAGTTGCATTCGCTCGAGTTTTGGTACGGCGGCAGATGAACCCGGCCGAATACGCCCATCTAGTTGACATTCTTTCTTCTGAGAACTGTTGATCTAAAACGGACCTAAACGGGCCTAAACATTATTTATTTAAGTGTGGACTGTGGTACCTAAGTAGCATTTTTGCTTGGAAAGTTACGTTTACGCTAAGGGTCGCTGTCTGAAAAATCGCTGTCTGAAACATTGTCATATTTGAAGCATTTAACTGACGGTTCCATGACATTTTACGGAAGGATGAGTGGGTAGGAACAATTGTGGGATGGGTGGGATGGAACCTGGCCAAGGAACTGTTCATGAAATGACTTCTCCCAGTCCCCGACGCTCTCGATCGTATATGCGCGACTTCAGTTTCTTTTCTTATAGGTATCTTGTGATGTCCAAACACATCATTTTTTACTGTAACCATCATTTATTACTTTTATGATCATTTGTTACTGGAACCACCACCTGCCTGAAACCAAGGCCCTATATACCTGAAATATACCCCTATATACCCCTATATGCCTGAAACTGACAGGTCCTGAGATTTACCGGGAGAAATGTAGACTTTTGCAATACTTCTCAACGCTGCGCTGCCAGATTCAGTGTCTGGCATCATTTTTTTGGGGCGAAAGTGGCGCAGTAATTACAGCGCGCTGTGAACAGCCGACCAAAACAAATGCGTTGTGGTCAGCCCTCAGCCTTGAGATCCCACGGTTCGATGCGCTCGCTTGGGTTGACGACGGTTCTAGTTTGATTTTCCGTGGCCTGGGGTGGACAGCGTGTTATAATATTCACTTAAGTTACCCACCTTAAGGTAAGCTTTTTGTTTCAATTTGTTGTTTCTGCGTCTGTCAAAGGTTCTTTGTTCATGCCAGCAATCATGTTGCCAATCTAAGACCAACTTTCCAATCTGAATTGGCACTTTCTCCCCTGACTCCTTGTCCTAAGTTTGTGGGAACCTTCTGTCATAGCAATATGGGCCTGCTATCTTGACCTACTACTTGCCTTTTGAGCTCCAGACTAACTAAGTGCGCACATAAATTTCCAGGTTTCCCAATTATCCATGGGGTCTCAATTGCCAGCATTTTTATCAATGCTCCTAAATCTTGACCTTTCTCATCCGCAAGCCCATCAAAGTGCTCTAAGAATAAACAGCTGTGCATCCTGATCCAGATGTACAAATTTATATTGCAACAAAAGCTTTGATTTCATGTCAATATGGGATGAAAACAATTAGAATTTTTTTCAATTTGATATATTTCACTTCAAATTTAAGTACCTAGAAGAAATTTACTGCTTGAAATGCAAGCTATTTGATACATTAACTTGAACTGGTATGGCAAATTGCTTTAATCAAAGCTTGTACCTAAGTTTTCTTATATCAGTAGGCGGAACTATGGTCAAGCGTACCCATTTTCGGGAACGCATTTTCGTTCCCATGTTTGGGAACGATAAACCCAAATATGGGAACGCCATGTAGGCATTATTTAAAACAAGAAAAAGAACCGTTAAATGATGTCCAAAAAATATATAACTATCGTGAGCCACCTGATATTTGTCTCAATATTGTTGCGAAAGAGTTTGATATTGTAAGGCCCATCGTAGTTTCAAATCGTTCCCCTATTTCTAAAGCAGTCCATCATCCGGGCCGCGAGCCCAAATTTGGGAACGCTCTCATACACTGGCGCTGCAAGCGTTCCTTATTATGGGAACGGCGTACCCAAAATTGGGAACGATTTCACCGACGCCTTTCAGAGGCTCTTTTCATTAACAAGCATCACGTCCAACGCCGCAAATTATTGTTAACGCAACAATCATCAGATGACCTTTCCGGCAAGACCGTCGCATGTTTCGCCCGGTCTTCTGCGCTTTTATTCCCGTCGATCTCGCAGCGGGCACGCCCCCCTCTGCAGGATTACGTAATTCACAACGCTCAGCGATGTTCAACAAGGTCTTCCATACCTATATCCACCGTCCGCGCCGAGGGTGGAGACATGTCAAGCACCTGTCTGTTTATCACCGATAGTTGACGAGCACAAGGAAGTATCCAAAAATGGGAACGCTGAATATGTTACACCCTCAAAACACCTAGTCCCAATGAAAATCTAGTTTTTTCCTTTCTTAATGAGTGTAAGTGGCAAAAGGCCTGGTAGGATGGGCACGAGGAATGATCGAAATCAGCATAAAAATTATAAATAAGCCACACAGAGCGACCTATATAAGAGAAATTCCCCCAAAACGATCACGCTTAGAAACACGGAAGACAAAAACCACGCTCATGACGCTCCTTATAAAACAGCTCTAAACAGCTAGCATCCAAATAAAATATGTCTATCTGGGATGATATAATACAGCTGAATAATTGTAAACCACTGAAACTGAGTTTACAACAGTAGTTCGGTAAAATCACTGACGTTCCATGCGGTCGTGCGCCCCGACACCAAATGTCACCAATATTACCCCCGGACTGTCCGCGTGTTCGCTTGCATATATCAGCATCTGGTGTCGCTAGTATGAAACTTCATAACCAGGCGAAAATTATTATAATTGACCTCAAAATGTAAAAAACGCTTCATTTTCCTTAAAATTGCAAGTTAAATGTAGTATAACCCATGTTTTCACCATTCCGTCATTTCAAAAAATCATTAAAAATATCATTCGACGGTCAATTTCCTTGTGCAACGGTCAGATTAAAGATAATTTTATAGAGACTTAGTAGATACTTAAATTAGCGTGCACTTTTTTGAGACGTGATGCACTAATGAGTTTTAGTGGGCGAACGGCCGAAAAATTACCTTCCGTTCCCATAAATGGGAACGCCCGTTCCCATATTTGGGAACTCCGTTCCCAAAAATGGGAACGTTCCTATATTTGGGTACTCATGACCATAGTTCCGCCTACTGATATGGGGTGTAGGCAGCGCCACAGCTGGTGTATAGTCCTCTCCTTACTACACAGAACAGAGGAGGAATTATCCCCTCCAGTTTTGTGCATTGCAACTGATGATTTAAAACAGGTTGGTTTAAAGGGACCCTCCCACCTTCAAAAAAGTTAATGAATTGGCATGAAAGTGATGTCGCTCGGTTTAGAAAGAGCAAAAACGAATATCTACCAAATTTCATCGAAAAATATCAGAGCCTATTTTAAGGGAATTTGACTGGGGGGGCAACCTGGAAAATTGTCTTTAATAGTCCATTAAAACCCTCGCCCGTATTGGTGTTTCCAGTAGGGAGCGTATGGGGGGGGGGGTCCGTTGGACCCTCCCCCTTGCCGTTTCGCCCCTGATCGAGCTAGAGCTTCGCGGAAAAAACGACCGTGTTGCCCGTGATGAAAGGAAGCCGATTATACCCAATTTTAAGGTCCTAGGTCATCGGTTGACCTTCCAGGTCAGGTCATTGACCCAAAAGTCGGGAAAATCGGGACCTGTTAGAGCGTCGTAAAGAGTGGCTGCTATGGTTTTTCGGGGTGCTGATCACGAATATCATGTTAGTTATGATCATAGATGATGTCTTCATGCATTTAGGCCAGGTCAGGTCAGGTCAGGTCAACCAGTAAGGGTTTTGCCGGGTATTCGTAGTAGGTGGCAACCGCCTCTGACAGCTTCGTAACATGTTACGAAGGCACCAAAACTACGGCGTAAATGGTCAAATGGTTGCTTAATTCGAATTCAGCTCTAAAAACTAGCCTGGAAACATATAAAACTCGAAAATGTGAACCGAGGTCATCAAAGGTAAATGATCTGACCTGACCTTCCGGTGATCTTGACACCCACCCTAATGCATGGGAGCAACATCATATCCCATGTTTGAACGTTTGAAACCACGAAAAGACTGCAAACGCGCGGCTAATGCGAGGCGACATATGCCGAATCGCGACCTCGGCCAAACATGGTGCCATGGTGCTAGGCCGCCGGTGCATCTGAAAGAACTGTGGTGCCCCTGACAAGCCTGAAGTTCCAACGACAGGCCCGTGGTGCCCCTGACAGGCCCATGATGCCTTTGCGAGGCCGGTGGTGTCCACGTGAGGCCGGTGGTGCCCCTGGGCCCTGACAGGACTGTGGTGCTCCTGACAAGCCTGGAGTGTCCCCGACAGGCACGTGGTGCCACTAACAGGCCCAAGGTGTCCCAGTCCCTGCGAGGCCGGTGGTGTCCCTGCCAGGCATGTGGTGTCCATACTAGGCCTCTGGTGCCCCTGACAGGTCCGTGGCGCCCTTGCTAGGCCTATGGTGCCTCTGGCAGGCCTATGGTGCCCCTGGCGGGCCTGTGGTGGTACCCCTGACAGGCCCAAGGTGGTGCCCCTGCGAGGCCGGTGGGGCCCCTGGCAGGTCTGTGGTGCCCCTGGCAGACCTATGGTGCTCTTGCTAGGTTGATGGTGCTCCCAACAGGCCTGTGGTGCCCCTGACAGGCCGGTGGTGCCCCTGGCAGGCCTGTGGTGTCCCCGGGCCCCAAGAGGGTGGGGGGTCATGACCCATATGACCCACCCTTAGATAGGTACACCACTGGTCATTACTTACAGACTGACTCATTTGACATCCATTGCAAAACAAGTCACAGTAGTTACGTAGTATGTTTGTCACCCTGTTCCTTTATGCCCATTTTTATAGTGGGCAAATCTCGACGACTAGGGGGGCAATTCTGTTGAGTGCGGGGGCATTTGCCCCCCCAGTTAACATGTTAAAATAGGCCCTGAAAAATATTCACCGGTTTCAAGATATTAGACTTTTACTTTTGTTTACTTTTTGGGATCTCCGCTGTTCCTACCGACTTTATTTGAAAGTACGGCATTTTTTGCGCGCAAAGCAGCATATACCACAGCGTGCTACAAAACGTTTTAGTCAAACATTTAACGGACGTTCGAAAGCCTGATGACGTCATCAGACTCCCGTAATGGTTAAGAGATAGGGACCACGCTGGTCCCACCCTGCAAGTAAAGGGAAGAAATTTCTTGAACACCATAAAGCTGCGGGGGTTGCGACCAGGATAAATGGTGGTTTCTGAGCCTGGCCGCAAACTTGGCTATCTCAACTCAAAACTAATGTTAAGGTGGGAGGGTCCCTTTAAATCAACCTGCTACCCTAATTATTTAAGTTTCCTGTAGTGATTCAGATATTTTTATGTAAACAGTAAAATGGTAATGAAGATGGTATTCATTTTTAAAATTGTGAAACTTGTGTGTTTTCTTTTGCACCAGTAAGTGAGCAAATTGCCATTACTAATTGCATACACTTAGAGTTTATGAACATGTCATTATCATCATTGCATGCATTGTCAATTTGGCTGATGCACAATTCAGTTAGTTTTTTTTTGTGCTGGAATTTGGTTTGAAAGTTACAGTAATATTCTCTCAGTTTGTATATTCATTCATGCAAATTTGAGCAGATTAGCAAGTAGCCAAGCAGAGAGTGATTGAAGATAATTAGGTTCTTAGGTCTGGGCTCATGTCATCATTCAAGTTTCTCAATGAATGGATCTGGATGTTACATAATGCCTATGTATTACATGTTTTCCTTCACCAAACACTGGTCTCCTCACAGAGCATTCTTTCATCTTGTCTTTCATTACATCAATCATGGTATTAACCCCAGTGCTTGTGACACTTCTCCACCTTGCAGCAGAACATGTTGGGCTCTGATGAGGCGTCAGCTCCGTCGGAGCCGGAGCCGCCGCCAGAGGCCGTCAAACCCGCCGCCGCCGCTGCTGACGCGCCGGAGGACGCCCCGGACGGCCGGCACAGCCGCGTGGCGCCGCTGGCTCCGTCTCCGGCCGTCAGCCACGTCTCGCTGGTGGAGCTGAGCCTGGAGGAGGACGGACCGGCCGCCGGCGGCGACTGGACGGCCGGCGCCGCGCCGCGCGTCCGCGGCCTCGACAAACTGCAGGAGCTGGAGCGCGAGCTCGGAGCCGCCCAGCAGGAGCTCAAGCTCAAGGACGAGGAGGTGGCCAAGCTGAATCGGATCCGCAACGAGATCGAGGCGGAAATGGAGGAGCTGACCGCCAGCCTGTTCCAGGTAGGTGGCGGGGTGCGGGGGAAAGGGGTCTTGCGTTGTTATAGCATAATATTCAGCATTGCTAATACCTCAAAATCTCATCTGGGTATCCCATAGCTCAGATGGTGTTGGGCTCAAAGTGTTGATGCGGTCGAACGGCTAAACTAATCAACAGCATTCAGGAACTGAAATTTGTGTCGGACTCTGATTCCAGCGCTCGATACATGAAACTACTGACGTGAGTGATCCTTGTTAGGAGAGTAGCCGCAGCCAGTGAGTGGGACAGACTGTAAACGTCTGTTAGCCCACGATGAACTCCGGCTTGATATTCGATATCGGCACTTTATGCCTCGTCAAAGTAAATACAACGATTGCTTCCTACACGAGATAGGACCGTGCATGTTCGGCTAAGCTTATGACAAGAACGGATTATGTTATGATCAGTAGTTCGATAAGTTTCCGGCTGTTTGCTACTCAACACACCGTTTCTCTCAATCAAACCCTTTCGCCCTCATGTGTCCACGTTTCTAAATGGGCGGTAGTGGATGCTGTGTATCGTGGTCCCGATGAATGGGATTACGTTTTTATCCCGATTATATCTGGCGTTGCCTCCGGAGAGATATTTCCTCCGTGCGGACTGGAGTCTGAAGGTCGCGTGTGGGTCGAAGGAACGGGAGTGTCCGCTGTCGAGCGCGCTCCGCCGGTGGGCGACATTCTCGTTCTTGCACCGAGACAGGGTCGCTAGCCGAGCACACTGTTCCTCACGGAAACTGGATGCCGTGAATCATACCTGATAATCTGCATGCCATCGCCCATTTCCGTGAATTCGCCATTTATGTACTGCACCGTAAGTGCTGAATATCCAGGTAAAACTTTGGATAAACAAACACGCCACCAGGCTAGCGTAAAAAGAAGGGTCTCTGGCTGTTCCAGTTTGCGATACTGATCAACTGTCGAGTGCTATTAGTATCTACAACCGACAACTTGTACGATGACAGTGAATTAATCTAACTCGTATCGTTTTGCACCTTTAGTTGAGTTTCAATGCATATTGGGATATTCAATTAACGATTTAAATACACTTTTTATAAGGCTGTGCCATGAAGCCCAACAATGCAATTAAATATACAAAACATAACGACATTTTAGTCTCGCTAAGCGCGAAAACAGGCAGGCAAAGATGGCAATCCAGGCGACAAGCTCATCTCAAACACAAACAGGATCGCCATATTCGTTTCTTAAATGTTCCAATAGTTCCGGTGCGTTTTTTTATAAACGTTCTCCCTCGGCCAGCAGTTTATACGTCATCAGACGATTCATACCGTGTTTGCTCTGTTGGCCTATGTATACATTTAACACATTCTTTAAATCGCCAACGCCACATTATTTCAACATCAAGGTCTGGTTTATTCTTTCACAGTCGTCATGTAACACCGAGGGCCTGACACCTCCCCGTGAACATTAACGCCGAGGATCCGGATTTTTGCCGGCCGCGTCACGTTGTTTATTTGTTTCGGCGAGGCTCATTCCTGAGCTTCAGCACGCTGTCCTCGTGCCTGGCACCGTCGATGTCGCGTCTGTTTTCCTGTCGGGGGAGGGGAAGGGCAATTCTCGATCGCTGACCCGGTCTCCTCGGAAGCCCTACGCTTTGGCGCTGCAAGGTTTTTCTCCCGGACAGCCGGGGTGGCTTCGGCGGCTGCCATGACCTTCGCTGCACGGGCTGTAGGCTTCCTGTCATTGTGCTGACAGATAGGTATGCAGGGGCGGCGCCGGCAGCGTGCCAGTGTGACGCTCGCCGTTATTAACCGTCACGCACGCCACTCAGATGGGTTTGGCGTCCGGGGACAGGGGCGTGGCTAGCCGGACTGAACACTCATCAGGTGACCTGTAGGGGTAAAGGCTTTTCGCTGGATATGTATCTTACCTTATATTGTCGATAACTTAGTGCCTTATGTCATGCACCAACAACTTGGTGATGTATGTCACCAAGATCATATACTTAATGAGACTGCACAGGTCAACCATGATGGCCGTCGAAACTTTTCATGGTAGTGAGTTTGAATTTCGGTAGGGAATCTGGCGAATCCTTTGAAGTGTGTGAATTGTGAAAGCCTTTCCCTGTCAGCTCTGTCACTTGTAAGCAGGCGGATTGCTATTTGTGGTAAAATTGATTTACATGTTCACACACGATCGTGCAAAGGAACATGAAGCTGTTCTTTCATGAGTATGAATAATTTATATACTTTCCGTGACCGTCAATAATAGAAGTTACGTAATTTAGTTGGGTGCTCGCAGTGGGTGCACACCAGTGTTGTTAATGCATTAGTATCAAATACCACTGGTTTACCTTCTTTCTTTCTTTGCCGCACGTCACGTGGACGCGCCCGCAGGCGCGTCGGACGGGGGCTGGTCGAGCGGCGGCTCGGACCGCCCCACCCGCCGAATGTAGTCGACTATCTTGCCGGCCGGCCCGGAGAGGACCTCGTCAAGGGATGGCAGGGGTCCCCCCAGAGCCGGCGTCTCGTGGTGGCGAATGCTGGGCACTCGGTGAGAAGGTGGCGAACGGTGTCCTCGGCACCGCACTCCCGGCAGAGAGGGTCCGGGGTGAGCTCCAGGCGGTGGAGCGTCGCTCGTGCCAGGGGGCAGTAGCCGGTCCGCAACTGCGACACGGTCACTTGCCCCCAGCGCGGGAGGTCTTGGAGTCCAGGCGTGGGCTGGGGGTGCGGGTGCCGGTGTGCACGCGTAGCCTGCATTTCCCTGGCGCGCTGCCGTATGGCGGTTCGGGCGCTGGCCAGATCGATGGGCGTCTCCGATTGGGCACACTCGGCCGCCGCACGGTTAGCCAGCCTGTCTGCCGCCTCGTTGCCGGCGATGTCGGCATGGCCTGGGACCCAATGGAGGATGATGGCCGTGTTCTGTTCCCCCAGTGAGTCCATCGCGGCCCAGACGCGCTCGGCGAGGACCAGCTGCTGGGCCTCCGGTCCGCGTTGGAGTAGCTGAAGGCCGGAGAGGGAGTCGGTGCACAGCAGACATGTCTTGATGCGGCTCCTGGTCTCCCCCGGTTGTGCCAGCAGACAGGTGAACGCCGCCAACATCGCTGCGAGTTCGGCCCGCATACTGCTGCAGACCGAGCCCGCCGGCACCAATGTCTCCACTTCGCGGTTCTCCCGGTGCAGCTGGATCAGCGCACCGCCGCCTCCGTCCCTGGTGCCGGACTTGGCGGAGCCGTCGGACCAGATGGTGCAGTCCGGGTTGACCATGGCTATGGCCTCGAGGGCGGCAGCTTTCCTCACGGCGGGTGGGTCGTCTCTTCTGGTGGCGCGCGGGAGGAAGAGGCGGAAGGTGACCGCGTCTGCTGGGTTGGTCCACGGCGGCTGTTCCGGGACCAGGGCCAGCGGTTCCCGTGGGAGGTCCGCTAGACCCGCCTCCTTGGCCATCCACTGACTGACCCGCCGGAAGCACGGTTTGAAGGGCAGCGCCGTGTCCTCGCTCGGGGGGTCCGGCGGCGGTTCGCCGCGTCTTCTGGCACTGTCAACGGAGCCCCCTTCACGTGGGGACAGCGTCTCCCCGAGGCCTCGGGGAGCAAAGTGCTCCATCATCACGTACCCGCCGATGCGTGTCAACCGACTGGTTTACCTCCCGGTCCTTCTCCGTGTGTTCAGTGAGGGTCAGAATATATAAAACCAACCGATGGACGACTCAGTTCTAAGTTGCCAACAAAGATCACTGCATGGACCATACCGTGCCGACGTTATCGCGTCTGGTGTCTGACCTGCGAACTACCGTTTCCCAGGAGGCCCACAAGATGGTGCTGGCGGCCAACGAGAAGCAGGCCGCCGCCGAGAAGGCTCTCCAGGAGGCCACGATGAAGATTGACGTGTTGCAGGCGGAGGTGGCTGCGCTGAAGACGCTGGTCATCACGTCTACCCCGAGCCGACCGAACGCCCACCTGCACCCCCAGATCGACCTGGGAAAGTCCAACGGTGAGCGGCCGGACGGGTAACCGCCGCTCCGGAAAGGGTGGCGACTGGCAGTGGCGAGTGCAGCCCACCGTTCCATGCTTCTATCCTCAGGATACAGAAATCCCTCTCCTCCACTCTGCAGCCCCCTCCGGGCTGGACAGGCAACTTTATCTCATGCGGGCTGTTCCCTTGGAGCGGCATCGCTGCTCCCGAGGGAGCGCACCCCGTAGCCGGGTGCAGTGAGTGCCTTGGGGCTGGTCGGCCTGTCCATTTGGACGGGCTCAGCCCCGGCGACTCACTAGGGTGCCTGCCCAGACCAATGTCTCCCCCTATATCCTATCATCCTCCCGGTTCTGAAATGGTCCCAATTGGACCGAAAGGGCCTAACCCAACAAAAAAAAAAGCTCGAATCGGCTTACCGAGATCGATGTGTATGGCTACATATAACATTGAATAGGCACGACGAATGGTTGAACGGATGAATGAATGGATGTATGGATGTACTTTTGCTAGTCAGATAATAAGCTTATCATTACGAAGTTTATACATCCCTGCTTTCTGCCTAAAGTACTCTCGCCGTCCATGTCCTCAGGTATCAAGATCTGGAAGAAGGGCCACCACCGGTCTCCGTCGAACCAGGAGCTGACGCGTCCGGACGCGTCTCCTCCCTCGTCACCGGCCCGCTCGCCGCCGCAGCATCTGGCCGCCCCGGAGCACATTGACGAGGTCAGTGATGTCCACGAGGGCAGGAGGATAAGAGGCCTTAATGAATAAGGGTTGTCTAAGGTAAGTTGTACGATGTACGAATAAAGGTACCTTTGAGGTTCGTAACGTATTTTAAACGGGTGTACGGAAACTAAGTTCGGAAGTCCGTAACATTGTGTCCAGATTAATAGAAAAGCAGGTATGTAGCCATCATGAATTCTCATTACACTCTACAATCGATATTTTTGGGTAGCTCATGTTTTCTATCACGGCAGGTGGCCTTTTCTCCTTGTTTACCGCCGCGCCGCACACAATCACCTGTCACCGTGTACAGTGTGCTCGCCCGCCACAGTTGGACCCGCGACTGCTGCACAGTACACACTAGGACGGCCGTGTCACTATGACAGACCGTGTAAGATTTACCACGTGGTCAATTCGGCACTCAATTTTTCTCCCGCCACAGGTGGACCCGCGGCTGCTGTCGGAGGTCTCCGCCTGGCGTGAGTCGCCCTCCGTGGAGCTGACGGCGCCGTTCGTGCGGGACGTCTACCGCGAGGACATCGAGCCGTGCCTGCGCTTCGCCACGCCGCAGCTGACCGAGAAGGTGACGTCGGCGGTGCTGCAGAACTCGGTCTGCATAGAGGAGGTGTCCTCCGGCCTGCGCGGCCCCAACTTTCCCAGGTAGGGGCGCCGGGCGGGGCGCTACGTAATGGGGTGGGTGCGGCAGCATGTTGGACTGAGGGGAGAGACAAGGTTAAGGATACCTGTCTTGACAAAAGGACCATTCAAAGCGTTCGCACTCGGATTGTGGGTTGGGGGACATAACTTGTTATAGCAAAATCGTGTTTTTGATGAACTGGCGCCTAAATGTACATCAAGTGTTTCCAAAACCTAGCCCTCGTTCGGAAGACATCCTTGAAAATACTCCAAAGCAACTCCTACGAAATACCTTCAGAAATATTTTTATCGGGGAACGTGGTGCTGGCTGTCCTAATGATTTCATAGCAGTAGCGTACCTAGCACTGAAGCCGTGCAATGTGCATTTTATTATCTGTGTTTTGATGTTCTTTGCTATCACTGTCATTTTGTTTTCTTTTTGTGTATCATTGAGAGAATATTTTTGTTTTCAATTGATCAATGAATGCATTATCTTCTTGACATTCGCCTGCAACATGTTTATCGACTTCATTGATGGCAGCTTATCATTGATATGGTATAAATTGAATTTGTAGAACTCTATGGCTTTCCATGTGCATTTATCTATAGAAATTGCAATTGTGTTTTTGCTCGTTTGGCTGTAATTGTTAATTTTTGCATCGTGATCCTCACATGAGCTCCAAGCTTTGCACACATAAGCTTCATGAACTATCTGTTTGGTCTGCCTGCGAAGATGTGTAATGGTCAATTGACGCTGATTTATTCACGCTGCCTGTCGCCAATTCGCTGTATGTATGTGTGTACGTATGTACCTCTGTGTGTTGTGTACCGTTGGCGGCCGCCTGCCCCGTGCCGCCGGGTCCCCGTGCCTCGCCGCCCCCCAGTGACGGCTGTGCCGGCCTCTGTGCGCTGTTAGCAGTGACGATTCCAGACGGTGTGCGCTGCTCAACGTCCACCGCACCTGCCGGTACCGGATGAAACTGCCCGGCGAGACGGGATGGATGGACATCTCGCAGATCTGCCGAAACCGGGTGCGTATTACTGACAACCGAGCCTGGGGGGTCGTCTTGAAATAACAGAGTCGATTTGGCTGCCGGGGCGAGTCTGGGGTGGAAGTGGGTGGAATGAAGGTTGTAAACGCCGTCTGAGGATGGCGGCTCTCCCTGTTCTGCAGTCGTTTTGTGAGAGGCTTGGATGTGGGCTCAATTGTCAAACAGCGTGACCTCGGCTTTTTTAACACCGTTTCTGAGTCAGTTCTAACCAATCCGTACTTCCGGATGTAGGACCATCCAATCTGTCACATCGAAAGATGATAAGTCGTAATTTATTTACGAATCTGGTTTTGACGATGTTTAGTTGTAACTGAGGTGCATTTCTCTCAAAGATTTTCTATTCGAAAGCATATTTTGGTACAAACTGCCGAATACCATTGAATTGTCAACTGGCTAACCCTATAGTAACACATTTGCGTCGTTCTTCCGCTCAGATAACGGCCGTTTGCGACTTCCTCAACTACCTGCGCTACATCGAGCGAGGCATGGTCAAAGGCTCCGTGATCGACATCTACCGGGAGATCATGCGACTGAGGCGCAACATGGCCGTGGCGCGGCTCGGCTTCACCACCTGAGCGTCCAGTATCATCTTACCGAAGGCTGGCAGTCGTTCTACCGGCTGGTGGATGTTCTACCGGCTGGTAGTGGTCGCTCTACCTGGCTCTATCGATGGCAGGTGAACGTTCTACCGACTTTGAGTGGACGCAACGCTGGAGTCTTGACAGACATTCCTCGACCAAGGTTAGCGAAGTTCTCAAGGCTACAATGAATGCCGAGGTATGGTCTGGCTGGGCTCACGGCGGTTGTAGGCTACGTTCGCTGTACGACAAACAGCTGTAGGTCCCCAGGTGAAGTCTTGCCGTGCCTGTGGCATACTTTGGTCAGTGAGTAGCAACACTGATCCGGCCGGAAACGAGATGTCATTTAGAACAGAACAGGGTTTCATAGACAACACTCGCCAGATCGGATTTACAACAGTTTTGGCCTTTTTACTTCGGTTTTATATTCGGACTTGACCCTATTGTGATGCATGAAAAGACTCCTCGCGCTATTGGTGCGTTCAGATACTCCACAGCTGAGGTATGGTGCTTGCTTAGCAAGCTGCGCTGGGTTTGGGTGATGTTCACGGTCCATGACATGAGCCCGGCGGGGGCGACTCAGGCTGAGGGTCTAACCCTGTGATGTCGGTCTCTGGGGCGGTGTGCGTCCTCTCTGGACGGTGGGTGAGAGTCACTGAGGCGGCTGCGGCGGACGGGCTGATCGGGAGGGGCGCGCCGCACGGCTGTGGACGCGCTGGGATCTGGAGAATCTCGTTGGTCAGGGCTGGTGATTCCGTGGGCCGCGCGGGCCCGGGCGGCTGTATATTTATGCACATCGGGAGAGCTCAGTGTTGGCGGGTGCCTCCGGAGAAGGCTGTTGTTGAAGACGGTGTCTGTATCGGTGGTTCGTTGTGTAGGGGAGAGCGGGGTCAAATGTAACACGGGGCAATTGTAACAGTGTTAATAATTCATAAACTTACCAATAGAATGAGCTGATGTTCAGACCGAAAATGCGTAATTCTATGCTGCCTTTCTCAACGGAGTTTGAAGCGAAAGTGCCGGGTATGTCGATGGCTGTGCACAGTAATGTGTTTTTGGGAGCATTTTGTAAATTTTTATACCGTTATATTTGATTAGCTCATTCCCGCCATTGAAAAGATATCGACTTCAGACTTTGTGTAAGTGTTGGCAGGCTTGTTGTCCATTAATTGAAAGCATTAAATGCTGTACATGCAACATCTTTTTGCGCCAGTTTCGTCTAAAATATGTCAAGGCGCGACGGGGACAATTGTAACATTTTTGCAGGGGTCAAATGTAACAGGTTATAGGTCAGTGGCCATTATGTCGAAGTCGTCAAATTTTCAAGGGAGATGAAACATTGCTAGAATTAAGAGAACTGTAAGTTTTGTCGCAATCAGCAGCTTTTTACGTGATTTATTTGCGAAAAACCGAGGGAGAGGAGGTCCATCCAACCCCTGTATAAGTGCGAGGTTTTAAGCCTTTTTTTCCTGAGAAGAACCGTCCCTACCAAATCTGGGAAGATGAACAAGTGTTCAATACTTTTGTTAAATCAAAGTTTTGGAAAAAATTGTGTTGCTGTAGCCTGTAAATTAACATGTTACAATTGTCCCCGGGGGGTGTTACTTTTGACCCCGTATCTGGGGTGAATTGTAACAGCTGAATTGACTTTTTCGGACAACAATTTTGACCCGAAAAAGAAGTTATTTCGGAAATGTTTTAACTGCATTTTAAAGACAAAACATCATAGTTTCTGAAAATAAAAGAAAGAGCTTTATAACTGCAAACATGTTTGCACCAGATGATAAAATGCAAAAAATGTTACAAGTGACCCCGTTCTCCCCTATCTGTGGCGCATCTGTGTTATATCTGTGGTACGATTCGGACGCAGACAGGACGTGGAGGCAGTTGGTGTTGTTAGGTGTAGTGACGCTGTTGGTGGGTTCCGAGCGAGCGCACCAGAGAACAGCGACGGAGCTCGGTTCGGGTGATTTGTTTATGCATGATTTAGGTTGTGATGGATTTAGTGATGGTCACATATTCTCAGCCGAGATTGGCCCGCGGGGTCGCCGTGTGGGACCGGCCCGGGCGCGGTCGGCGCGTTCTGTTCCAGTTCCGCGGCAGCAGCTCACTGATGTCGGATGCTGCCAGTGGTGCGGACCGAACCTCTTGTGGCTTTAATTTTGGGCCCAATCGACTCGTTATCTGTGTTGTACTCTGCACACTGAGCACTAACTGTATTTATTGCTACTCCCCCGCACTGTGCGTGTTATACTACGCGCTATGTATCGTTATGCATCGCCGTCTTCCCTTTACAACTCTGGGAGTTTGATCCTTTGTTTCTTTTCCGGACACAAGCTCAGCTAGTCTCATGACAACATCCAGACAAACGTTTACAATTTCAGGCACGATATTTTCCTGTCGTGTTGATGCTAAACTACATACACATGTCGGATTTTTTCGTTCGCCCGATCGTCTACAAACATATTCTTTAATCCGTGTTCGGTCTTAATTTCATTGAGCTAGTCTTTGCTTATAATGCTGTCCGTACGTTCTCCCTCCCGGATAGCTACTTAACCCGCGCCCCACTGGGGTCTGTGTATAACACGCCCTACTGGGGGGGGGGGGCTATTCATAGCCCCCCCTCCTAACTCCGAAACTACTGGGCCGATCGTCAAAATTCAAACGGCGTCTGATAGCCCCGGAAAAACTGTCGAGCGAAACCTAATTTCATTGACCTCGAGGTCACCGATGACGTCACAGGTCAGGTCAAAGTAAAAATTATTAGCACTTTGGCTTGTTCACATTTTGGGCTCTGGCCGCCGTCTTACACGTCAGATCAGGCTCATTTTTGGTTTCCACACTCGTGAACAGATGCTCTAGATACCTTGAGGGTACCAAACTTGTACTTTGATTTTCAGGTCAGGGTCAGGTCATCACAGGTCACGAAAATATTATATCATGAGTCGGTCACGTGACACATGTTTTATGGTCCATTTAGGCCATAGATTTCGAATTTGATGTCGTCTGTGTCATTCAAGGTCATTTGAGTCGAAATTAGCTTAGGTCAGGTCACTTTCAGGTCAAAAAAGGTCAAATTTTGAAGTTGAAATTTTTCAACAAAAAAGGTGTCTATTGGATGCAATTTGAGCTCAGGAACACGATGGTGCCATTTATATTGGTGTACGATGCCAAATACGTACTGAAAAATTGATTTGAAAAATTAATAATTGTGAATTTTTTGCAATAATGCGTATAACTTGGCCATTTTTGAAGATATTTAGCTAAAACTTGCTAGAGTTAGTCATAATCATGCGTTCTGTCACATATATTCCGGTTTTTTCGAAAAGTCAAAAACTTTTTGAAAAAAATATAAAAATATAAATTTTGAATATTATTATATAAAATTTTCGAAATTTTCAAAATTTTGAAAATCCGAGATAGCAGTTTGATAGCGCGGTCAATTCTGAGTTCTTTCATGCAAAGAAATTGGATCTAGCTTAAAAACTGAGCTCTTGGGAGCGATTGCCGTGGTTCAATGTTTTGCGTCGAAATCGGACGAACATGACGTCACTCTGACGTCATTTCCAGCCGACCTATGGTAGCTACGAAGTTCAAATTTTGACACAAGGTGTCAAATTGATGCAGCCGAAGGTACTGAAAGTTTGGCGTCGATTCGTCAAGCGGTTTGGAAGTTATTGCAGAAAAACGGGAGGGGGGGCTAGAAATAGCCCCCCCCCAGTGGGGCGCGGGTTAATCGTTATAGACAGTCTTTTTTTCATTGTGGAGGTCGTTCGAATGTTGTTAGGTTTGGAGACGTCATGCCGTGTCCTTCGAAGTTGTTCCGTAATGAGTTACAAATTTTCATTTTGTTGACATTCGTATGTACCTATATGGCACATTTGTTCGTATGTGTGTGTAGTGGACGATGAACTCCATTTATAAGCCGTGAAATTGCCAGGATAGCTGAAGTTAGTTGTGACATGGACAGCGGTTCCTAGGCTCGCCACCGGAGATATGTCGTTCTCAATGTGTGGTTGTCTCCGTTTTATCGATATATTTTGTTACAGCTGATTTTTGTCCGGTTCCTTCGAAATGTGGAGCCTGTGCCAAAGCCAATAGCTACGATTGATGGTGTCTTCCAGAGCAAGTGGTCATGACGCCACGCACTTCTCGCATGGATCGCAATCTCAAAAATAGATATTGACTTACTATTGCAAGTTTATGCACGTATATGTGACAACTGACAGCATCCTTTAGAATTACTGCGTTGTTGTGAATTGATGATATATGCATTACAGATGCAGGTCTGGAGATTGTATCCAGCTCAGCTCAGTGCTGACTTCGGGCTCCATTTTTGAGTGCACCTTGTGGACGCCTCGTCTCGTTCGGCGGGCGTGCGTACTGCGTATACTGTTTGGTCGCTGTGACCATTATTTTCCGTGAATACATTGTCATCTGGAGATATTTAGTTTGTTGGTTGCAATGTGCCCTCACGAATCGTGGGTTGTCTGCTTGTGCTGGCCTAAGTTGTAAATTTTACATGCCCGGCATACAAGCAATATAATATTTAAAGCTTTAGAAAATGAACTGATAACATCCGGACGGATGGCATCGATGAGATGACTGTCGCGGGACCAAGCACATACCTAGGATTTGGCTTGGATTTGGCCAAGGGGGGGGGGGAGGAATCCCGCGGCCTCCTACAGGGGGCCTCCTCTCTAGTCTCTACAGAGGGCCTCCTTTCTACTGAGGAGTCAGAGGGGCCCTAGCGGTCAGACTGACATACATTAGTGGTTATTTCACAGGAGGCCCCAGGTAGTAAGAAGGACCCTAGCTGTCAGGCTGGTCAGAGGGCCGTGACTGTCCTGACGTGATTTTTGGGATTCCCGTGGCCGTGAATTTCGTTCGCCTCCGACGTGATTTTGACCAACGTGGGCTTGCGGTCGCGGGGGCCTGAAAACCCCAAGGGGGAGCGCGCCCCGTCCGCCCCCCCCCCCCCCCGCGTCCCTGCGCGCGACGCCGAGTCAGCCAGTTACATCAGAGTCAGAGTCAGTCAGGACAGGATAGTTCAAGGATAGTTCTGGCGTGGTGAATGGGTGCGACGATTCAGCCCTGTATGCAAGTATTCGCATAGGGATAAAAACTCTCTAGATTGGAGATGAGGAATTGTCCAATAAATCGTATTTTCCTGGAGAGGTTTCGATGTCCTTTGAGCTTTGTTCTGAACTTATGACGTTAGCAAAAAGAAGAGAAATAAACTTGAAAAAAATAAAACATTTTGGCATGTTTCAGGTTTATAAAAGCTCTTGGGTATACTACCCTAACCCACAACAAAATCAAAATATCTAAGTAATTATTTGGAATCATTTTACGCAATTTCAAACCTACCAATCAATGACGTCAGATAAATCTTATTTCGCTGACTAAGGCCTAGTCGGAGTAAACAAACCGTTTTCTCCCCCGCTCCCGCGCCTCTCATTCCAGGAGGACGGCGCCACAGGTAGGGCCTTGGCCACAGGTATTTTTTTTGGTATTTGGTGAGGGTGGGTGCAAGTTGGGTGCCTATATACGGCCTTGGTTGGGTGAAAACCGGTGAGGGTATGCTGCATTGGTGAGAGAGTTCTCTATATACCGTGGGTGAGAGGATTGGGGCATAAAAGATAGGTAAGCGATTTGTGCTTGCTGTTAGTTGGTTGTCGGTTGGGTTGGGCCAGAATAATGTTTATCTATTGACATCGTCCAAGTTGAAGTATGAGTCTTAAATACGTTGTGAATCGTCCTGCAATTCATTTTCTCATTCCAATTCTGCTTTTTCAGGAACTGGAACGTGCAGTTCAAGTGGTAAGTTTCAGTTTCAGGTGTTTGCTGCAATTGGCAGCAGTATACCTATTTAAAGGGACCCTCCCACCTTCAAAAAAGTTTATGAATTGGCATGAAAGTGATGTCGCTCGGTTCAGAAAGAGCGAAAACAAATATCCACCAAATTTCACCAAAAAATATTCACCGGTTTTCAAGATATCAGACTTTTACTTTTGTTTACTTTTCGGGATCTCCGCTGTTCCTAGCGACTTGATTTGAAAGCAATAGTTTGGCAGCTGAAAGTGCGGCACTTGTTGCGCGCAAAGCAGCATATACCACCGCGTGCTACAAAACGTTTTAGTCAAACATTTAAAAATTGTTAGATATCTGCGCTGACATCACACATTCAGAGGGGTATTCCTATGCATTAGCCCCTCTTAATCAAAATGCTGCAATTTTGAAATTCAATATTTCCGATTTAAGGCATTTCTTGATGTAAGCACCGAAACCGGTAATTGTGAGCCAGGGACCCCATTTTGGCTATCTCAACTCAAATCTAATGTTAAGGTGGGATGGTCCCTTTAAGCATTGGCCGACCTTAAAGATATGAACCGCTTCAATTTGTCATATTGAGTCACAGGTGGGTGGTGCCTGGTGGATTCTGAAAACAGTTGCCAGGGTGGTCAGACTGCTAAAATGAAATGTTGTCATTTTTTTCATTCCAATGCAAATTCTTCTGCTAGGTGGTGTGTTCAGTGTTGTGCATTTTGCATTGAGTATTGTGGCTCATAATCGTGTGTCATGAGTGAATTCTGATGATGCTGGACCTGGAGCTCTCCCAATTCTGTGTCTGCCTTAATTTTGGACTTTGGGGCTGAACCAGACAGTGTCACTTAGGGTCTCCTTGGTGCACTAAGGTGGTGGTGAATTTTTAATGCTTAAGCACCCTCAACTTGGCAGCAATTGACACCTATCCTCATAGCATATTTCTTGTTGAGCTGCTGTTCTGCTGCAGAGTTGTCCAATAAAAATATGTGCCACTGTACTCTTGGTAATTTGAATTAGTATGCAGCAGGAGCAGTTGTTATTGCCACCCGGGCTCAGTGCCTGAGTGCTGCAGTTTTCATTTCCGTTTTCAATCTTGGCACTGTACCTGAGGATGAAATATAGCTGGAGGGGGAACTACCTGCCAAATCAAGGGCAAAAAATAAAATTGATGCTGGAGCTCAACTGATTTTTTAACCCTCGCCCGTATAGGGGGAGGGGTCGAACGGACCCCCCCCCCATGGTTTTTCGCGAATAACTCGCGTAAAAAGCGGCCGATCGCGACGAAACTTACAGTACCCTCGCGTTATTCAATTTTACACCTTCCCTGAAAATTTCATGCCCCTGACCCAAATGACCTTTGACCTGTGCCCTACTTTTCGAGACCATGTTTGGCCAGAATCGCGATTCGGCGTATGTCGGCTCGCATTAGCGGCGCGTTTGCAGTCTTTTCGTGGTTTCAAGCGTTCAAACATGTGATATGGTGTTGCCCCCATGCATTAGGGTGGGTGTCAAGGTCATCTGAAGGTCAGGTCAGGTCATTGACCTTTGATGACCTCGGTTCACTTTTTCAAGTTTTACAATTTTCTAGGCCAGTTTTTGGAGCTAAATTCGAATTTAGCAACCATATGAACATTTACGAAGTAGTTTTGGTGCCTTCGTAACATGTTACGAAGCTGTCGGAGGCGGTTGACACCTACTGGGGCATTCCACGATAGATCGACCAAAGCCGTACACCCTCATATTTTATTTTTTGCTTAAAATTGGTCTAATGGGTTGTTATGGGCGGGGAAGCCAGTTGTGCCAAGGATTTTTTTCTTCGAACACCGGTTTCCGAGATATAGCCTCAGGCAATTCCTCGAGGTCACGCTGCAACCCTATGTTTGGCGGAATAACTTAGAAACTATTGGTTTTCAATGGTAAAAACTTCATACGGTTTAAACTTGCAATCAACCAGCGAACGTTTTGGCTATCTCGGATTTTCGATTTTTGAAAATTTTGATCACGTGACATCTTGATCTTTTTTTCGAAGAGTGACCTTGATATTTTCCCAACTGAAAGTCGCAATTTTGTCTGATGACGATTAAAGCCTTATCAATTGTCATTCATATGGGAAAATAAAAAAGTGGCTATCGCCCTGCGTTGACCTCAGGTCAGGTCATTTTTATGACCTGTCCATTATTACGAGCGGGAGCGACGCGAGATCTCGAGAATAAAGCAAGATAGCGACAAGCGGTAAACGGTACAGGATTCACACGGATAAGATCTACAATTTTTACGGAGGTCATTTTCAGGTCAGGTCAAAGATGACGTCACAGGGGTAAAAAGGAAGTCAAAATAGTTTTGGCTGTACCTTTTGATCTAATAAAGAAAGAGGCGTAGAATAGGCACCAATCCGTTTGCTTTCGCCTAGCGCCAGTTCGATTTGAATTTCGATACCGATGACCTGAGGTCAGGTCAATTTCTTGACCACCCCATTATAAGTCAATTGGGGAAAAATCAGCTCCCTTATTTTTACACTAAAACGCGTCGGAATTGCCTAATATACCATGAGTGACTCCATATGCGACTAGCTTTGACTACCTTGAGACCTTTTTTGCTCTTGGTCAACTGTGACGTTGCTCTTGGGTCATGTGACGTCATTAAAGGTCACCAAATGTTTTTTTTTGCTATTAACTCCTTACAGGTTTGAGATACAGCCGCGCGGATAGGCTCATTGTGTTCAGCTCGTCAAGGCCCATCGAATGATATATATGATGACCTTAAGGTCACGTGACCTAAGGTCAACTTTTGACCTTGACCTTTCGAGGTCAACATACACATGTTTCGATGCGGATCGACGAGAGGATCACGATGGTGCTATTAGTTTGTTCCTAGCTGGGATACTTCGAAAGTTATTCGAGAAAAACTTCATATATATGTAGTGCCGCCATTTAAACTTTCTTTTTACCCTGTGACGTCATCTTTGACCTGACCTGAAAATGACTTGAGTAAAAATGGTAGACCTTATCCATGTGTACCCTGTACCGTTTACGGCTTGTCGCTATCTTGCTTTGTTCTCGAGATCTCGCTGTCGCTCCCGCTCCTAATAATGGACAGGTCATAAAAATGACCTGACCTGAGGTCAACGCAGGCCGAAAGCCACTTTTTTATTATCGCATATGAATGACAATTGATAAGGCTTTAATCGTCATCAGACAAAATTGCGACTTTCAGTTGGGAAAATATCAAGGTCACTCTTCGAAAAAAAGATCAAGATGTCACGTGATAAAAATTTTCAAAAATCGAAAATCCGAGATAGCCAAAACGTTTGCTGGTTGATTGCAAGTTGAACCATATCAAGTTTTTACCATAGAAAACCAATAGTTTCTGAGTTATAAGCCGCCAAACATAGGGTTGCAGCGTGACCTCCAGGAACTGCCCGAGGCTATATCTCGGAAACCGTTGTTCGAAGAAAAAAATCCTTGGCACAGCTGGGTTCCCCGCCCATCACAACCCATTAGACCAATTTTTAGCAAAAAATAAAATATGCGGGTGTAAATTTTAAGTTTTTTTGGTCGATCTATCGTGGAATGCCCCTACTACGAATACCCGGCGGTACCCCTACTGGTTGACCTGACCTGACTGACCTGGCTTAAATGCATGAAGACATCATCTGTGATCAAAACTAGCATGATATCCGTGATCAGCACCCCGAAAACCCCACAGCAGCCACAGTTTTCGACCGTCGACGTTCCAACAGGTCCCGATTTTCACGACTTTTGGGTCATTGACCTGACCTGGAAGGTCAACCAATGACCTAGGACCCTAAAGTTGGGTGTCATCGGCTTCCTCTCGTCACGGGCAACACGCTCGTTTTTTTTTTCTGCGAAGCTCTAGCTCGATCAGGGGCGAAACGGCAAGGGTTCGTGGCTTATAGGGTTCGTGCCCCCCCCCCCCTCACTTATACGTTCGTGGCTGGAAAAACACCAATACGGGCGAGGGGTTATTGGTTAGTGGTTGACCTTCCAGGTCAGGGCAATGACCCAAAAGTCGGGAAAATTGGGACCTGTCAGAACTTCGTGAAGTGAGGTTGGAATGATTTTTTTTTGTGCTGATCATGAATTTCAAGTTAGTTCTGATCACAGATTACGTCTTTATGCAATTAGGCCAGGTCGACCAGTAGGGGTCCTGCCGGGTACTAAAAAAAAATGTGTCAAACACCACCGGCAGCTTCGTAGGATGTTACGAAGGCACCAAAACTATAGTACTTCGTAATGGGTTCTAAATTCGAAATCAGCTCCAAAAACTAGCCTAGAAGCTAGAAACCTGTAAAACTCGAAAAAGTGAACCAAGGTCATCAAAGGTCAATGACCTGACCTTCACGTGACCTTGGCTGGCACCCACCATAATGTATGGGAATTGGGACCAACATCATTTGACATGTTTGAGCGTTTAAAACCACAAAAAGACTTCAAGCGCGCGGATAATGTGAGCCGACACACGGCGAATTGCGATTCCGGTCAAACACGGTCACGAGAAATAGGTCACATATCAAAGGTCATTTGAGTCAGGTTCAATAAATTTTTCGAGTATGTGTAAAATTGAATAACTCGAGGGCACTACAAGTTTCGTCGCGATCGGCCGTTTTTACGCGGAGTTTTTCGCGAAAAATCGGGCGAGGGGAGGGTCAGTTCGAGCAGTAAAGTAATATTGGGTGTGGCTCAGTTCGACCCCCTATAATTGCGAGGGTTAAAACCCTTTTTCATGCTGAGCTAACTTCAGTGACTGAAAATTTGATTGATATGAACATTTTATTTACAATTTGGTGGCTAATTCTTGGATACTCTTAGTTTGCACTGTGGTCAATTCTACGTAGTCCTCTTAGCCTCTGGTGTTTTTGGTGCGCAGGAAGTCGTACATGCTTGCTTCAATTACTTTGTCTTTAGTTTCTCTGGAGTCTGGACTACCTTTAAATTGTATCCATTCCCTCCCTTATCCTATATCTGTTTCATATGTTTCATGATTTCTTCTTCGCATGCATGATACAGTAACCTAATATTGCAATATTGTCCATTGTCCTGCTTCAGCCTGAGATAAACTGTGACAAGTCCTTTATCTGGGAGGACAACCCTCACACCATTGATCAAGCACCATTGGTGTACTTGAATTGAGGCAAGAGTTACAATCTTTGTGGTTGAATCCTTCTTTATTCACTCTTCTTTCACTTTCACTCTCACTCTTCTGCTCTTGTTCCCAGGTACCACGTAGGAGCTGTTCTTAACACCAGGCTGAAAAATTTCAAGAGCCATGCCTAAGAGCAACAAACAATGGGCGTGGCGCATATCATTTGATGTTGCTTGTCTTCTCATAGGTAAGTGGACCGTGCTCCTTCGTTACCGTGCTATGGCGTTCTGCTATGCCTGTAACGTGTGTTATCTGTTATATCTTACGAGTATGTCTGAGTCATTTATTCAGCATACATTTTTTGGCGTTTCAATTGCCTGCCTTACTATATGATAGGAATTTATATGTTTCCTGCTCATGTTGTGTGTATTTTGGTGTAGACGGAGTACACCTTTTGAACATCATTTTATGCATCGCATAATCTTTGTAACTGAAATGCATGACATGCTGACCACTATCTTTGGTAGTCATTCAAATTTCAATGTGAACAAGAACATTGGTTCTAGACATGTTTTCAAAACAAAATATTGACGCAATGAGGGATGCTATCTTCGGGCCGCCTTAGCCAGCATATTTTTTTTAGAAGACCGAAGCTGTTTGGAAATATTGGCCGCATTTGTTAAAAATAGACTGCTATGGTTCCAAATAGAATGAAATCAAGCAAAATAGATTCTCATGAATAGACATGGAACGGAATAACAATGGAATATTGACGCTGCTTGATGTGGAATGACAACACATATTTTTACAATTGCTAGCATATTTTTACAATTACTGAGTCAAAGGGGTGGGGGGTGGGGTGAATGCAGTCCCTGAGGTATTTAATTGTGCGATAGAGGTGAAGGCAAAAGCCGTATCGAGGTAAAGCTTTCAGTAGTCTGGCTAATTTTATCCGCATCTTTGAAAAGAGAGTAATCGAAGGCCAGCTAACCAAAGAGCAATCGCCGTCGGTTAGGTATTCTGTTTGGAACATAACTGGCCTCGGGTAAGGCCGGTAAGGCCAGTTACGGAGCTACGAAATCATCGGAGGTGCAACCTGCGAACGATCTTTCGACCTTCACTAACTCTAATATATCGACACAATGCTTACTTCTCACCGTTGATATTATACTAATAAGAAGCAGTTGTATGTCTATTTGTCAATGTTAATGAACAAATGAACGGTCATTGATCCGAACTCAGCTAAGATTAAAGATAATATTGAGTATGTCATTCAATGAGCATGTCTAATGTCTTACGGGATTTAGGGGCTTTGACGGATGTGTGTATCGCCATCCATCGTTTACTTTTCGATTCGTCTGCTACAAACATATTAATCCGAGTCCCCAATAGCACAGTCTGTCTCGACTGTTCTCGACGATAGCGATCAGCGAGGGCGTCGCCGTTTCATGAATAGAAAATCGCCTTGTCCTTTTCGCAGTGTTCGGCAGCATAGGCGGTTACAACCGGGTGCCGCCGCCTCAGACTGGGCTGTTTTGCGATGACCTCTCGATCCGATATCCGTATATTGCCAAAGACACAGTAACAGACGCCGCTCTCTATGTAGTGGGTGCCATCCTTCCCATCACTCTGGTAAGTTGACGTCGCCTCATTGCCTTGCGAGCCCACATGTGTAAATAACGCCTTCACTGGCTAACATGAGCGACACATTGGCCTGGCATGTGTCGGCATTTTGCCAAACTGAAATGCTGATGAACTAACAAAATCTTTCGCGACTTCTCTTCTACGAGCCGTTCACATTTACAGCCTCTGTCCACCATGCAATGGTGATGGTTAACCCTCGCACCGACGGGGGCGGATATCCGCCCCCTGAGGTTTTTCGCGAATAGCGGGAAATTTGACCTCATCAATTTTACACATGGTGTGCAAGTTTGAACCTCCTACCTTTTAAGGTCAGGTCACCAGGTCACTTTGAATGATCCAACCTCAAGTCACTTTTTTGCAACTTTGTCACCGTGTCAGAGCTACAGTAGATGTCGGAGGCCTTTGAAAGTCGCAGGATATTATTAGGTCATTAGTAGCTACAATTTGTACAGGGTGTCTCAAAAGTTCGTTCACAGGTACCAGCCATGCTTTTTTGTCAATAATTCTGAATCAACAAGAAATTAACAGTCGAAATTTTGCATAGGCATTGGTGACAACCTTCCTCAAGCAGTCTCATTGTTTTCAAGTGCATTCGACCCTTCATGAGCTCACAAAAAGGGTTCACCTCTGACCATGGGTCAGGCACGAAAATGTAGGTTGCAAAGTCGGGTATGTTGTGAAACTCTCTGTTTCAGGAGTAGTGAGAATGGTTAAGTCGGAAATGACACATGGCTAAGTGTCGGCGAGGATGAGTGCAACATGATGATCATCTCATAAAAACGGTGCCTAAAATTTTTGAAGGACGAAACCATGCGAGACTAACTGCGTTTTGAACGACCCTCGCACGACAGCAGACTCGTGTTCCGGAAAGCAGCTGAAAATGCGGTCATAACTATTGAAAACTGGCAAGAAGGTCACAGACAGAGGTTAACCATTTTCAAAAAGTGCAGGTCATCGTAAAATAAAGATAAATTATAATTCAAAATTGTTTATTATATCTATAACGCTAATTTTGGGGGACAATAACACATAAATCGTCAATGCCAAGGACACCTGACCCTCCAAAAGTGTCAGTTATTGTAAAATTTTATCTAACGAAGTTTTAAGAGGCAGATCTGCAGCGAATAATTTTCTTTTAAACACAAAATCCCGATAAAACCACACGATTGACAGGTTTGGGCCGTTTACAAAGCAGAACATCTCCCGAGGAAAACACTCCGTAACCGAGCGAAGGTCTTGGCATGGGGAATGACGAGCGCTTGGAATTTGCAAAATTTGCACAATGTGTCTGAGAAACAGACGTCCGACACATTCTGCTACCATATGATGCGAAAAATTTACTCCTGGCACTTCCCGTTTGTTCAGGACTGGGGTCGTTTTGAAAAGGAAAATGGCGCTTGGGATGTCGGCGACAGTCATTCATGAAGGAGTTAGCGCCAGAGAATGCCTACAAAATACTCAAGAATGGTGTCGATGCAAGCTGTCGGCTTTCAGGGAAAATCAGATGTTGCCGGGGAGCTAGTCAAAACTAAATCCGACGCAGAAACTGCAGGGGATTCCCCTGCAAGAGCTTGAAAGCTGGTAACCTTTTATCAGCCTCCGGCAGCTGACGGAGCAACAAAAATCGGTATGGGCAAATATTTTTGGAGGTACAGCAAAGGGGTTGGTTTCCAACCTTCTTAATCAGTTGTCAAAGCATGCATATTTGTCTAGTGTACACACAGACACCAAAACCTTATACTTTTGGCCGGTTCTTATATGCTTTATTGGCATGGGAAATGTGTGAACGAACTTTTGAGACACCCTGTATATCTCGGAATTTTGATATCGGTGACCTAAGGTCAGGTCAATTTCGCGACCTCCCCATTATAAGTCAATGGGGGAAAATTCAACTCCCTGTTTTTACCACTAAAACGGGTCGGAATGGCCCCATATACCATACATGACTTCATATACGATCAACCTTCACTACCTTGAGGTCTGTTTTGCTGTTGGGCAGCTGTGAGGTCATGTGACGTCATCAAAGGTCACCAAAGGTTTTTGGCCAATAACTCCGTACAGGAACAAGATACAGACGCGTGGATGGTCTCATTGTGTTCAGCTCGTCAAGACGCATCGAATGATATACATGATGACCTCGAGGTCACGTGACCTGAGGTCAACCTTTGACCTTGACCTTTCGAGGTCAACATATATATCATTCGATGCGGATTGACGAGAGGATCACGATGATGCCCTTAGTTTGTTCCTATCTGGACTAATTCGAAAGTTATTCGAGAAAAACTCTCTCCATATCTAGCGCCGCCATTTTGACTTTTTCGACCCCTGTGACGTCATCTTTGACCTGACCTGAAAATGACCTTAGTAAAAATTGTAGATCTTGGCCGTGCGTATCCGATGCCGTTTACCGCTTGTCGCTATCTTGCTTCGTTCTCGAGATCTCAGGGGGGGGGGGGGCGGTCATCCGCCCCCCCCCCCCGTCGGTGCGAAGTTGGCGCAGACCCCCGTCGGTGCGCGGGTTAAAGTAAATGAACTTTGTTTTTGGGCTCTGTAAAACTTTCAACGTGAATCGAGTGGGTGTGCCCACTGCACACCTCTGCATACGATTCCACCGGGGGCTGAATCTTATCCCATAAAGCATATGGATTCTATCACATTCTCATTTTCCTGTGAGGGGCTGTCCTTTTGGGTGGCTTTTGCGCCGAGGAAACTTCACATTGTGATTAGAGTGCATGGAAGCGGTCAGGACAGGGTTGTGTAGTCTGCTGCTGTGCTCCCATCTTTGGCACTCTCCTGTTTATTGAGCGTTGCAGACCGATGTCTGTTTGTTTGGAGCGGAGGACAGCGGCTGCACTGAGTGCACGCTTACTCTGTGATCTGTCACTACGGGGGATGTTGGCTAGCGCTGACAGAGAGCACTGGATTGTGTGTGTTTTTTGGGTGTTGCTGATAGCGAGTCTTCCTATTAACTATCCCTCTGGTGTTTTAGCAGTACCTAGGTACTAGGTAGTAGCCTTTAGGCATAGGCAGTAAAATACTAGGTAGTTCTTAAACCAGTTTTCATGCGCGTCATCAGTCTGTCAATGCTCACAATTAGCGTAGGTTTGAAGAATTGATCATTTGAAAGTTTATGCTCATTTGCTGACAACCCGAACATTTTAAGATAGCAGCATTCTAGGTGAGGTTGCATATTAAAACCGAGTAGGAATAATTTGTATGCATATACTCCACCGATACACGCTGGAAAAGAACGAGTGCGTTTAGAGGCGCTGAGGCTTAATGATCTGTTTTTATAGCAGAATCTCTCTTGGCGCGTTTGTATGCTTCGCCTGCTTTGACGGCCCATCTACCGAGTCGCCATGCCCGAGCCTGTGCCTCCGCTGTCTCGGACGACTCACTCTTGTCCCAGTCCGTCGGCGGGCGCCGTCCTGTCTCCGACTGCCTCTCCTGCCTCGGCCGCTGCCTCCGGGCGCCGGATAGAGGAGCACGCAGCTATGACCCGGCTCCGTCCCGTCTGTCTATTTCAGTGGGCTTCTCTGTGCTAGCGTTTTACCTGGCCGGCCGGCCGTTCGAGCGCGGCTTCTACTGTGACAATGACTCGATCCGGTACCCGTACCACCACGGTACCATCTCGTCCACCGTACTCTACTCGGTCGGGTTCGCACTCAATATGGTGGCGGTGAGTGTGGCCAGACAATCCACACCGGCGGCGGTGAGGCATCTCCGTCTGCCTCTCTTAACTAGCCACGGCGACACATGTAGATATCGGGCAGGTGTAGTGATAGTGACCATTCAGAGACTATCCCCCCCCCCCCCAATGTGATCCTCTGGTCTTATTTCCACTGTCCTGTTTCACGGCACGCAGATATCCACCCGCAGTGACCAGGGATTGGCGCTTTGGTTTCTAGGGAAATGTTGGCGAATTGGCCAAATCCGCTAACATTTTCATGAGAACCGAAGCGCCAATACTTGGTAATGGCGGGTAGCGAGTCGACGGCCCGTGAAACGGCCCTGCTCGTCCGTGCCCCCCCCCCCCCCCCCACATCCCGGGCAGTCAGCGGATTGTATTATGGCAGGATGATTGCCAACATTTGCACGCCGGCCAGTGTGGAGAGAAGGCTGCCTGTTGTCCGCTTTTGCTACTTGATGTCCGCTGATCCTGCTGTCTGCTGTTCCTGTTATCCCATCTCGTACTCCGCTTCCTCTATTCGATTTCCTTATTGTCATATTCCCCTGGTGGCCGCTGTCCCTGATTTCCGCTGTCCCTGGTTTCCGCTGTCCGCTGTCTGCTGTCCGCTGTCTACCGGTGTCCACTTCCCCGTGCTGTCCGCTGTCCCTGTCCAGTGTCCACTCTCCGACGATCACGGGGGCAGTCAGGATAGCCAAAGGCCCAGCCAGGTGCGGGATGTCATACGTCGTGTCGCTTGACGTTTTATGTAAATGGCTTACTAATACACACGATTTAACGGTCCGTTTTGGTCTAATAACACGTGGTGAACAGGTTTGCAGCACCATAGCTAGATCGAACTCACCCTAACCCAGCACCCGAAAAGTGAAAATTGACGAGACATTTTCTGTTTCTCGGTTTCCACTTGTGACTTCAACTGTTTGCATGTTTGTTGCATCTTATTTCGTTCCTTCCTTTTCGTTTGCTGGATTAAGATCTGCCCGTCGTATTAGCTTTTTTCGTAGTATGTAACGGTATGGCTTGATGATGTTGTCGAGCTCTTCCACGCAAATCTGTCGTTTCAAGCGTCGTCGCACGCGGCTTCTGATCCCAATCTCCGCCTCTTTTTCATCGCTTCACTCGACTAGGAAGAACTGTCGCTATTTCATAAGGCTATAGGTGTTTGTACAGGGTGGGGCAGCATAATCGGGAATGCTTTTTGGGCTCTGGTCATGAGTAGGCATGGCATTATTTTGATAAATTATATCATGGCAATGAAACGCCCAAAAGTTGTGCATCATCTGACAGGACTACATCCATG